ATCTTATTGTAAACGTATATAAGGTAGGCGAGCCCGAGTTAAGTTTTAACTAGTTTTCACAAGCGAAGAGAGTTTGACGTTGGTCGTGTTTAGTCAAGTGTGACGAAGGCAGTGTTTATTCAAGTTGGCGGAGGCCGTGTAAGTTTAACGAGTTACATGCTGTTGTGGAGTTTAACTCAGTGGAAACTACGTTCATCTTTGGAATAAATCTTCTTGTTGCTGTTCCGACAACCCTGCGTTCAGTTTAGTTTGCAAGCTACCCGTCCTCTAAAAGATTACCCGCTTAACAGTCGCAAACTCCCAAAATAAACTCTTTGCACAAGTAACTGGAAAGAGGAGGAGAGACGTTGGGCTTGAAGTGCCAGTAAAGTACATTCAAGCGGGTATTCAAGGCATGACTTTAATAAAAAACAAGTAATAATCCACAGCAAGAGGGGATAAAGCTCGAGCTTTATCCTCTCTTGTCCACAGAAAGGAGTTTGTTCCCAATAACGATTGAAATCCGGAATCCAAGTTCTACCAAGAGAGAATAGATCATAGTCTCTTGGTTCTACTGACAAAGACTTCAATCCAGTACCTGGAATCTGGAATTACTTACCTAATTTATTGTCTTTTCTTAGCTCTGGTGGAGTTAATAACTTACTGTTTTCAGTGTCCGGTTTACTTTCTTTTTCAGCTTCATGATATCGGGCGTTATTATTTCCTTACCTACTTACTCACTTAGTTATTTACGATGCATGTTTTCAAGATTTGACTGAGACGCACATTGAATGGCTTCCTATTGTCAGGTTGTCCTGGTTGCCATTTAGGTGAAGAGAACAAGACGTTATATTGAACTCTCTGGGTTGCCGTCTCAGTTGTAAAAATAAAAGCATTAAGCGAAAATCTTGCTTCGAGGAACAGACTCCTTTCTGTGGATTATTACTTGTTTCCATATTAAATTCATGCCTTGAATCATGCGCCTATTTACATTTTCTTTCAGTTTTGCCGAAAACATTTGTTAAATATAAGAGTTCTCGTTTCTTCTACCGACAGACTCGTAGCTTTTTGAACCCGAGTTCGCTTTTTTTAAAAAAAGGCTGTAAGTTGTTGTAACGTTTATAATCTGTAGTCTATGAAGTGTATCGCATATTTTTCAGTAATTGAACCCTTAAGCATTTGTGAGCAATTCATCGACAAGAAGAAAGCAATGGTAACTTATGGTAACTTTTTTTATCAGATACTGTTATGCATAAGTATATTCAAAGCTGAATTTACACATAGCTGGGCCCGACAGAAAGAAAAAAAAAAAACTTGCGCTGAACACAAAAGTCGGCCAGCTTTTTCTTTTAGGTCTTTTCTTGAGACATTATTTTGTTGACTCTAACGTCCGTAACCTGTAAATTGGCTACCGTAGAGTATTGTGAATAAAAAAGATTTTTTTCCCTTTATATTGTGTTCATATCAGTCGTTTTCACTCAGCTCATTACCTCGAACCCCAAATCATTTTCCCTTGCCGCGACATTGGACCCGCGACCGCGACTTTGAACCCGCGACCGCGACTTTGAACCCGCGACCGCGACTTTGGACCCGCGACCGCGACTTTGGACCCGCGACCCGCGACCCGCGACCCGCGACTTTTAGTCAAACTCTATCACAAGGCGAGACAGGATCGTCGAGACCTAACAAAGTGTCGCTTTGTTCACACTTGGATTAAGAGGAAATCTCAAGGAATGGTTGAGTGTGGACAGCTGGAGTGCTACTGGGGAAGGGAAAAGAGCAAAGGGCAAGCTCATGGGAACCAAATCAACTCGCCTAAAAGAGAAATTGTTTGCTTAGGCGGTGGTGTTCTCAAAGCCAAAGTTAAACGTTCAGCTACAACGGACAAGAGGAGGTATTCTGAAAGCCTTGCAACAGAGGAAGATTTTTTTTTTTCATTTTTTTTATTTATTTTTGCCTTACAGACATATATTAAATGTTTACAGTACTAAACACTACTGAAACTAAATACTACTAACAATATTCACTATACTTGCACTATTTACAATATTGGCTATACTGACAATACCATCCATACGATGCTCGTACTACTAATAATTACAATGGTTACACTACTTACAATTCTAGTACATCACACACACACACACACACCCCCCCACAAACACACACAAAAAAAAAAAAAAAAAAGGTCAGAGGAGTTACTTTTCATGTCTATTTTATAGCTTTTCAATTCTGTATTTAATTATCATTTTACCAACGAAGTCTTGGAGGAGAATTGGTTTGTTGTGTAGTTTGTTGGCGTAGATGTAGTATCTCATAAACAACATGGTATAATTGAATTTCCTTACTAGTACCTTTTCATGTAAGTCCGAGAGGATGCCGAACAGTCTTTCTTCGCTAGATGGGTTGAGATTGATCTTGTTTTCTATATTGAACCAGTTGATAACCCGTTGAATGAAAATCTTGACGAAATGACAATCTCTAAAAGTATGATTAATAGAGTCTTTTTCACCACAATATATACATTCATCATCTTCCTTGATTCCATAGCGGTAAAGTTCCTTTTTGGTGACTACAATTCGGTGGATTAATTTATATTGAAATTCCTTTAATTTGGTCTCTCTACAGACGGTTTTTAGGGAGGTGAATATTTTTTCCCATTTATCTTCATCCAAGGAAAGATCTTTGCTCCATCTCTGTGGCCCAGAATGACCTGTTGTGTGGATTTTTGTGCATAATAACGAATAGAAGTCGCTAGTCTTGATTTTGTTCAGATATAGAGTTATCGATTCATTTAATTGTAGACTAAGATTATTATCAGAATATAACTCTTTATTAATTGGCTTCGTTGATTTTGCTTTGGCTAATAGGTGCTTTGGGATAGCGCTAATAACTTGATAGTATTGAAGGAAGTTAGTTTTACAGGAATACTTATTCGTAAATTCCTGATAGGTCATCGGTTGACCGGTATTGTGTAAGAGATCTTGTATTGACAGGATACCTTTTTAAACCATTCCCTGATAAAAAGGTTTTACTGTCAACAAGTATTTTTTGTTGTTGAATAGAATTATATTTTGTGCTTGATCAAAGCGGTACAGAGTTTTTAATTCACTGAAGTATACTAGAATATTTCGGTAAAACAATGGAATAGATTTTATGTATTTCGCATCGTAGTTACATCTCAGTAAAAAGTTCAAACCTCCGAATTTTCTTAGGTAATAATCAGGAACTGTTTTCCAATTCTGGTTCCCTGGAGTCAGTAGTCTTGGAATCCAGGCTAGTTTTAGAGCTTTAAACATTATGTCGATGTCTACCATACGTATTCCGCCTCTTCCCAGATCCTGATAGAGCCCAGTTCGTTTAATTTTATCCCTTTTGTTTTTCCATAAGAAACTAAAAAACTTTGTTTTCACTGTGCTTGCGATATCTTCGGGAACATTAAGAATTGAAGCTGAATAAATTAATTGTGACAATCCTAGGGACTTAATTATCAGTACCTTCCCAAATAGTGTGAGGTCTCTAGATCTCCACATATCCAGCTTTGTTTGAAGTTTTCGTATTTTCAGATTAAAGTTCAATTCATTGTTACCCTTCTCATCATAAGAGACATGAATTCCTAAGAGGCGAACCGGACTATGTAACCATTTTAGTTGTAAAGGATAACTTTTGTTTTTTTCCCATTTTCCCAACCAAATTGCTTTCGATTTCTTTATGTTTAACTTGAGACCCGCTAGCCTCCCAAAATCTCCCACCGTTTTCAAAGCATTTTCAACGGAGATCAAATCTGCACAGAAAAGGTTTGTGTCGTCTGCGAATTGGCTCAATTTGATTTCGTGCCCGAATATTTTGATTCCTGTTATACTTGGTTCTTGTCTGATTTTGCTGGCTAATATCTCCGTGGAAAGCACAAATAAGTACGGAGAAAGGGGACACCCCTGTCGCACTCCTCTTGACGGTCTAAACCAGTTGGTCATGAAACCATTGTTTATCGCCGCCCTCTCAATTTTTGTATAGAATGTACTGATCCATCTTTTTATACTTGTTCCGAAATTGAATATATCCAGTGCTTTCATCATGAACGACCATTCTAGAGAATCAAAAGCTTTCCGAAAATCTAGAGATACTAGAATGCCAGGTATGCTTTCTGACTTCGTATGTTCCATTATGTCGATTATTAGCCTAATATTTTCCCCGATATATCTTCCTTTGATAAAACCGGTTTGATCAGTGTGCACTAGATTTGGTAATAATGGTTCTATTCTCCTTGCTATTGCCTTAGTTGCTATCTTGCAATCAACATTTAGCAGTGTTACCGGTCTCCAGTTTGAAAGTTCTAGTAGCGAGCCATCTTCTTTGGGAATTAAAGTAATAACGCCTCTTCGTTGTGAAATGGTGAGTTCATTTGCATCATAGGCCGCATTGAAACTAGCAACAAGATCGTGTCCTAGCAGATCGAAAAAAAAAACATATAAAATTCAACCGTGAAACCATCTTCTCCTGGAGCTTTGTTGTTTTGAAAAGTGTCTAAAAGCTTTTTTGCATTCTTCATAAGATAATGGACCTTCTATTCTATCTCTGTCTGCATCTGATAGTTTTGGAATTTTTAAATGTTCGGTGAATTCATCAACATTATTTTCCTTTGAATTATTTGCTGATGCGTACAATTCGCTATAATAGTTTTCGATAGCTTCTAATATCTGAGACTCGTTGTTTGTTACTGTTTCACTTTCTGTTCGCAGTTCAGTGATGGTTTTCCTGTTGTAGTTTCTTTTCTCCAGATTGAAAAAGTACTTTGTTGGACGTTCGCCCTTTTCGACCCATCGACATTTCGATCTAAAAATAGCTGCCCTCCCTTTCTCCTCATAAATAGATTGGAGTTCCATTTTGAGATCTTCATATTCATTTAGGATGTGCGCGATATTGGGAGAGTTAAAGTTGTCGCAAATATTGCGGTCCAGAATTTCGAGCTGTCTCCTAATTTCCAATTCTCTATTAGTGGTCGCTTTAGCTGTCTTTTTACTATAAGCAATGGTTGCCGCTCTGGTTTCCATTTTTAACATTTCCCAAAGAAGGCGTGCGTCTGCCAAATTGGAGTAAAAAGCGCGTGTGCGGGAGTACGTTTCACGGATTTTGGACACATAATGTTCATCCTTCAGTAACGTGTTGTTGAATTTCCAAAGTCCGGGTCCTCTAGACTTTTCAGTTGTCCAAGACAAAGAAATGTAAATTGCTCGGTGATCCGGTGCTATAGAAGGATAAATTTCGCTTTTCTTCACATGTTGTGTCAGATTTTTGGCAACTAGGAAAAAGTCTATTCTGGATTTCAGTTTTAACAGTTTTGATTCATAAGAGTATTTACGTAGCCTCGGGTGACGTAATCTTTGAATATCTACGAGATCGAAAGCGTCCATAGTTGTCAAAATCAGGTTTCGATAATTTGTTGGTTTCCAAATTGTGCCACCAATTTTATCTATCTTTGATAGTGTGCAATTCCAGTCGCCTCCTACAATAAGCGTGGAAATTCTGACTTGTCGATAAGGCAATTGTTTAAGTTTTGTAAGAAATCTAATTGTTCACTTTGGCTATTCGGGGCATAAATATTCACCAGTGATAATTTTAGAGAATTCAGAACACAAGTAATTAGCACAACTCTTCCAGCCTTGTCACTGAATGAGTAATCGATCTTATTTTGTACCGTAGGGTGTAAAAGAATGCAAACACCTTTACTATGCCTGGATCCGTGAGAGAAAAATATTTCACCTCCCCATTCGTTTTTCCAAATAATTTCATCTTCTGGTTGAGAGTAAGTTTCTTGCAAGAAATAAATTTTTGAGTTATGATCTTTGAGATATAGAAAAATGCTCCTCCGTTTGGCTTGATCTCTTATTCCCTTACGTTTAGAGAAAGTATATCGTATTTTGCTTTCTCTTGCATTACAATAAAAAACAAAAAAAAAACAAAAAAACAAGAAGAATATATATGCAAATTTAAAAAAAAAATACAGAAGCAAACAAAACGTAAATTAAAGTAGTTTTTGAGCGTTTCCCTTCTTCTTCTCCGAACTTTGCGTTTTTTGTTCCTGTCCCAAATGTAAGTTACAGTTTTTGTCTTCCTTGGCCGATTGGACATTTAAAGATAATCTAAGTCTTCCAGCTCGTTAATTCTGACCGGCTTACCCTGCGGAGAGGTCTTGACATATATTGATCCATCCATTGACCAGACACTCAACAATTCATCATTTCTCCGCATCTCGTTTGCCCGATTCATTATTTTTTTCCTGTACGAGGTAAGATTCTCGTTTAAAAAATTCTGTCGGCTTGCACTAGAGTTGACGACGAGCACTGCGGGAAGATGTTAGAAACTCTGACATTTTTAGCTTAGCCCTAGCCCTGTATAGATTTGTTTTGACCTTGTGGCTTATAAATTTTACAATAATTGGTTTGTTACCCTTCCTGTTCAGCTTGTGACATATTTCGATATCCTTTGGTTCCACCGATACATCTAGGGCCTCCGCTAATTTTAACACCACGTCTTCCGTCTCGGTGTAGGCGCATTCTGGTACACCATGTATTTCTATTGAGTTTTTCCTCGTGTATTGTTCTAGTTTGTCTTGAAGATCGTACAATTCACCAATTTCTTCTTCCTGCTCTTGAATTTTCTTTCTTGCTGCCACCAGCCCGCGTTCTACCTCGTTGTACTGCTTCGTTATATGTTCTAGAGATGATTTCAACGCAGTTATATCGTCTGTTTGATGTTGAATTGTGCGCTTGAGATCGGTCATTTCGCTTCTGATTGTTTTGTTTTCGCGTAGGATAGTTGCAGTATTTATTTGAATGTCTACCAACATCTCCCTTAGTTCTGCATTACTGGGCTCACCTTCGGCGTTTATTGCTTCATTTGTCGCTTCCACTAACTCCGCGGCCTCTTCCTCTTGACATTCCGCCATGTTGGCTCTTTTAAGTGTCGATGGTTCTTCTTCCTCCACTGATCCTCGAGCTCCTCGTTTGTGTTTTCCTCCTAATTTCTGCATTTAATACTTCAGCAAGTGTTTAAACGTTGAATTATTATGTCAAGGCGGTATAAAGTTCTCTAGAAATGGCGTAAAGGGACAGAAACTACGCTCCTCACAAAACGTGCCACCGCACACCGACCCCACGCATGCTCTCAACAGAGGAAGATGCTGCATTTGTGGAGTTATTGGACAGCAATAGCATTTATCTCAGTATGATAAAACAAGGTGCACTACTGTATACTGAGAGGGACCAGGAAAAGCGCTGGGCAGAATACTTCCTGGAAATACTTGACAGAGGCCCCGCTGTGGTTGAGGTTGTGGACCGGAAGACATTGACATTAGCATCAATTGTAACAACCATTAGAGATCTCTACGATGGCAAAGCACGATGGGATACCAAGTGACTGGAGCAACCAGTCCTAAAGACTAAAACACTTTGTCTGACTGTAACGACAGGAGAGGTATCACATTGTTAATTTACCAACTAAAATCATTACTAAAGTCGCCGTGAATATCTTAGTCTTTGACGGTCGATAGAGTGCTACGAAGAACCGATGCTGATTTCAGAAAGTTTGGAGCTGCAAAGAGCGTATCTATGCCTTGAGGAACTACATCGAGCAGTGTAACGACAGGAGAGGTATCACATTGTTAATTTACCAAGTAAAATCATTTCTAAAGTCGCCGTGAATATCTTAGTCTTTGACGGTTGATAGAGTGCTACGAAGAACCGATGCTGATTTCAGAAAGTTTGGGGCTGCGAAGAGCGTATCTATACCTTGAGGAACTACATCGAGCAGTGTCCTTTGAATGGCAGAGAGGTTTGCATGTCAATTCTTTCAATTTCCAGAAAGAGTTTGATAGCGTACACAAGGAAAGCTTTATGGAGTATTCTCCGGATATAAGGCATACCTAAGCTTATTGTCAGAGTTATTAGGCAATTATTCAAAGCTGACTTTTTTTGCTCGGGTAGATGCTCTGATATGAGCTACCATGTTAATTCCGGTGTCCGATGTTCATCATCCTACATCAACCCTATGACGTCATTTTGGGCCTCCTCCCCCTGAGCTTCGAGAGCTTCGCGATACACGAATTTCTAGTTTTTGATGAGTTGACTTGATTTTTAATGAGTTGAAAGGGAGTGTATATTCCAATATGTAAGATTCAAAAACAAGAGGTCTCCCAAACAATGACCATCGTCTGGTGTTAGAAACTTTAGTCGTCGACAACCATCTACGAAATAACAATTAATATGTCAATACGACATTTTTTATAAGACTCGATAGCTAAGTCCAGACTTGACTTTAAATTCTGCTTTATTTGATGTTTTTGTTGTGACTAGCATATCACAGTTCAATTTCGTTTGTACTGAATTTTTACCACAGCCCTTTGAAACTTGCAGGCTGTCTCAATGTTCAAGGCATTCAAAATAGATAAAAAAAAATAAGTTACATTCATCATTAATACTCGAGCCTTTTGGTTATAAAATAAAATGTTAACATTTTTGTAATAAAAGTCAAATGTTTAGATCAAAAAACATATGCTGATACAACCATCAAGATTTCCACTCGAATTGGGAGCAGCGGTCGAAACAGAAGGTCCATAAATGAAGCGGCTGAATTTCTTCAAGCCTTTCTTTTTGCGAATGCTTTTAAAGGAGCGTACATAAAAAAAAGAAAAGAAAAAACACTGCGATGATCTTTCAATTGTTAAATCTTTTTCCGACAGCTCAAATATTTAAGTGTTTTTATTGCAGACGTACTTTATATGTTAAAAAAAAAATTACCCAGATCAAGCGACAAGTATGAATTCACCTTTGATTTTCTAACTAGATCAGATCATTCAAAAACCTGGTTGATAAGACTGGTAAGAACTGGTATTAAAACTGTAGAAACAAATCTACGTTAAATTTGTCGAAGTCAATCAATAAACGCAATCTTTGGGGTTTATCAAATGCATAATCAACCTGCTGCTACACCAGATAAATCGCTCTACCCTGTTCATTACCTGTTACATTTGAGGACTTACATGATAAAAAATTATCCGCGCGCGTTTTCATGTAAACTGTTTTGACGGGATTAGGGTGCCGGAATTGAATAGGATCATCCTTCAAACTGCATTTAGTTCATTTTTCTTTGCGACTACCTACTATTACTACCTTGATGTGCAATTGCGATGTAGTTCAGCCAAGCACCCCAAACAAAAAATGCCAGAAAGGGAGTTAGCACAGACAAACGACAGGCTGACATACTGAGGGCCACGAGAAAACCATTCCCGAGTTTATCAGATTTCGTAGGTCTTGACATGGATGTCACCGTTTGTCAGACTATCCCGAATAAAACTGAAGGAAGAAAGTCAGGAGCCTTAATTTATTGAGAATAAACAAAGATAGGTTCCTATCCTCTTTTGGTATTAATCTAATGTTACTTTTTACAATGAAGGAATGTTAATCATTGAGTGACATCATGCTGTGGTGTGGGTTATTGGTCGTTTTATTGTCTTATAAGGATCAATCAATGAAGAGTGTGCCTGTAAAGTGTTTTTTAGCCTTAACAGAGAGTTAAACTTCCTATTTCTTTAACTACCTACTAAAACTTTTAATGTGTAGTACAGCCAAGCTCCCCATAGACAAACGCCAGACTGAACAGCGCCGTCACAGACAAACGTGGCCTGCCATACTGGGGAGCGCTCCCTTAATCAGATTTTGCAGGGCTTGGTAGATACTGATCATGAAACTCGTTCATATGTAACAGAAAGGCATGTGTCAGAGGAGTCAGGGGCCTTAGCTCATTGGAAATAATCACTGAGGATAGGATCGTAACCCCTTTTGGTATAAGTTTGATGTTTTTCCAGTGAAGAAATATAAATGACTGGGTGACGTCATGCTGTGGCGAAGGGTATTTCGCCTGAATGAGGAAGACCTACCGCTGTTTTGTTGACTTTAGGACCAATTCAAGACAATTGACAATTGTGGATGAGGCTGGTGTTCAAGAGAAGTCGGCAATTAGAAAAACACCGAAAACGAAAATAATTCAGAAAGACTATTGAGGTGCCTTCGATGTTTGGGTTAAAAAGATGAGCTTGTCTCAAAACCTACCTTGGGCAGTATATTTTGGATTAATAATTAAAATGAAAAAAAAATTGTCGGGAAAGGCTTTATGCCCTGCTGCATGACAATCATGTGGTCAGTAACCACAGTAATAATGTGGTCATCAACTTGTCAGTAACTGAGCTCACATTATGGGTGGCTCCTCCTAAAATGTTATACAATTGATCTAGGATTTAAAGGAGCCGGAAACTATGGTGGAATTGCACACATTTTGTTTTCCTAGGTACTTGTACCTTGTTCCTGAGTGGATCTTTGAAAGTTTGAAAGTCCCAGTTTTCATGTCTTAACTGTTAAACAATAAAAATGCAAGCAATGGAAATTGCTATTTATGATCAACTAATACCAACTCCGTGAAAGGTAGTCTTCAAGCTGTAAATGACCTCTAAGAAGTTATTAGCCACCCATGTTGTAATCAGACTTGTACGGTTGTGTTTTTGGCATCGCATAGTTAAGAAGCTTGACACCTTACCGAGATAGACTACTCCGTATAATTTTCAAACAACAACTTTAGAGCCTTCTTTACTAGTACTGTAAAAACTCTATATAATACTCGACACCTTGTATTTTATATATTGCTCTCCTTGTTTCATACTGACTGGAAAGCCCAATCTTAACCGTGAAATTTGAGAAAGAAACTTACTTTGACTAAGTAGATGCCTCGAAGGTTTCATGCGGGATGAGTCACTTCTAGCCAATCACAGAAGACTTGAGTTATTAAGCATTAATTTGAGCTGAGAAGATGGGTTTGCTGGTCGGTATAAAAGCAAGGTGCGATAACAATATAAAGAGAGAACGACAACCATATTGAAGAGAGAATTGTAAACCTAGGAGCTGTGAATAAATGTCCTGAATCAATGAGCAGCTAGTTCCCGCCAAAAAAGTTTTTTACATTACGTCTCCGTCGAGGAAATTGGTGGCTGCATTTATTTGCTCCCAGAAGAATGGATGGGAAAATTTCTCAGTATGTCTTGGTTCCTATCTTCGGAACTCCTCCAAGTCGTGGTTATGACTGCCTTGTATTCGCGAGTCGTTTACACCTTTTGGTTTAAACAACAGGTGAGAAAAACCTTATCCTACAAATACAGCCGTTTCTCCTTGCTCCTCGCCTCTAGGGGGCGAAAGAAATTCCATACTGATGACGTAAAAACTGTCGAGAATCTGGTCAGGAACTCTGATTGGTCAACGTAGTAGTTATATTGTTTTACCTATTTACCTGAAGTAGTGTCCGATTGCAATATTCTAATGTACGCTGATGACACTGTTTTATACTATTCATCCTCTCAAGCCTCTGTCATTCAAGACAAGCTGAATGCCGAACTGTCTAAGATTGATCACTGGCTTTCTTTTAATAGTCTGTTTGTTAATGTAACAAGCTATGCTTTTCGGAACCGCCCCTAGATTATCTGCTGTTAACTCTTTTTCTATTACTTTAAATAACAATTTAATTAAGCGGGTTTTTCACTTCACTTATCTAGGTATAGTTTTTGATGACCGCCTTGGCTGGAACGAGCAAATAAAGTACCTAATTTCGAAGGCGGGAAAACGCGTAGGAATGCTCGGTAAGCTTCGCAGAAGCCTCACTAGAGAGAGTGCAAATGTAGTGTATTGTAGTCTAATTAGGCCAATTTTAGAATACTGTGTAAGTGTGTGGGGCTGTTGCGGGGAAGGTCGTAAAAAAGACCTTGAAGCCCTCCAAAACCGGGCTGCTAGGATAGTGGCTTGTACTGTGCGCAGTAAGCAGGTATTGGACGTTCTGAAATGGCCCACCTTGGAGGAGCACCGACGTCAATCTGTTTTTAAACTCGTTAAGAAATGCCTGCAAGGTCAATGTCCCCAGTATTTTAAACAATATTTTAAACGTAATAATACAATCCATGCGCGCGCTACTAGACAAAACAACCTCTTACATCCG